AAGAAGTTAACTATATAGCTATATATATATATATAGCTATTCAATCACTGTTGAGTTTCATTTATTCTATTTCTGTCTGTTAACATTCTACTACACTATTAGCCTGTGCTGTTATGTAACAATGTTGTAAGTACCATCCCTACTATTTTGAAGGATTGGTATTAGCCAACCATATATTTACTTCTATTATTGAAAAGTTTTTCTTTACTAGTATAAAAAAAACATCTGTGTAGACCATCATATCAGCAGGGGTATCTATCATGTGTATTAATTCACATTCCTCGTGCTATGTTCAGAACCATGTGGAGTGAAAACTAAATGTTTATATCAGCAGGGGTATGTAGTGTGTACATTAATTCCTTATTAATGTTTTATTTTTTGAATTATATACATGATAACTATGATCACTATTCTTATTAATTTCAGCTTTTACAACAACCCTTTTAAGCTGAAATCTATTGACTGACTTGGACCTAATATTGTTATCTGCCTTTATAATAGTTTTATGTATTTTTTGTTTCATCTTAAGAAAGAATAGATAAATGTAATGATGAATTTTTTTTTCCATTTTAGATGTATTGAAGATCGTTACAAAGCTATTGCCGAGGCTGTTAGTAGTCGAGCCATAATATCACTTGGACTGTCTTGCTTCCGTCTTAGTACCAATGATGATACATCTAAAAACCAGGAACATTGTAATGGAGAAGAATGTAGTAAAAATAATTTTGAAAAATCGTTTAGGTTTGTTCCATTTACAGGTGGTTATACTGTGTATGTATATAATGTTAGTTGATGTATTTAGAGTAGGTTTGAATATAAGTTTATAGGTGGTTATACTGTGTATGTATATAGTGTTGCTTCATGTATTTTGAGTAGGTTTGAAACTAAGTTTACAGGTTATTATACTGTGTTTGTATACAGATTGATATGATATATTTAGAGAGTATACTCCTAGAGATGAAACTCAAAAAAGGCAACATCTAACAAGAAAAAAATATACATTTAACAACTAAAAGAATTCTCACAAAATATCTTCATTGTAAATATTATAAATATGTACCATATTTTTAATGTATTATGTATTAATGTGTTTTTTTTTGCTCAGATTTCTTGTCCAGACATTTAATATCCTAGTCCTGTGTAGTGAAGACTACACTGTAGAGCCTGACTCTCTGAAATTCTTGGTAGATCACGGTTTTGATTTTAATCGTCAGTATTCGTTGGGACTACCATATTATCGAGGTGATGACAAAGTAAGTAAACGTTTTTTTACATATACTTTTCTGAGTGTTTTTAATTACTTGGTCTATAAGTTACTAGCAAATCTTTGTAAAAGTATGTTTACTTTCACTTTTAAATAGTGTTAATCCTTGACTAAACAATGCAGTATCTTATGAGCATTTAATGTTAACATATTATATTGCATTACAATAGATAATCAAGTGAAATACTTCAGATGTGATGCAGATCCATGGGCTGAATTAAGAATAACTTTCATTCCACACACTTTTGCTCATAATTTCAGTTGTCATGAAGAAATAATATTTTACTTTTGCATAATTTTACTGTACTACTTGTTTTTTTATTAACTTATAAGCCAGGCACATCCAAGGAGTTGTCGTTGCGTGAGCTGTTTTCAGAACTTGTCAGAAGTAATCGACCAGTTGTCCTACATAATGGATTGGTTGATCTCGTGTTTTTATACCACAGCTTCTATTGTGCCGTTCCTGCCAATATTTCCACTTTTATAGCTAATGTTGCTGAGATTTTTCCGGAAGGTGTTTATGACACCAAATACATTACGGATTTCCATGCTCGACTTCCTGCCTCGTACTTGGAATACATTTTCCGTAAGAGGTTAGTTGAAAATGCAGAGGATGAGTGTTGATGGTCTGAGACATTTATTGAAGGATAAAATACGATGGACCATTGAGCTGGTTAAAGAACAGAACTTACTTTTTGTCATAAAAATGTCCATTTATTTCAAACTTCCGAAAAATATGATTTGCCAATTTAGGATATATGTTTAATTTTTAAGACGGTGAGACAACAGTTTAGCTTTAACTTATAACAATTCTAGTGTTACACTAGAAACTATAAATTGTTCTGATTGTTAATGGAAAAACTTTAAACTGGTGATTTTTAATGGAAAGAATTCCAATGGTACTAGGAAACATGTTTGTTGCTTTAATTGCACATTTTCCAGCTTTTACGATATACTTTTAATATTGATGAAAAACGTATGTATGATCAAATTTCAATCTAGTATCAACTGACTTAACTAGTAATTTGATAATAAACTATATCATCAAGTACAACTTAATTTGATAATAAACAATACTGTCAAGTACAACTTAATTTGATAATAAACTATATCATCAAGTACAACTTAATTTGATAATAAACAATATTGTCAAGTACAACTTAATTTGATAATAAACAATATTGTCAAGTACAACTTAATTTGATAATAAACTATATCATCAAGTACAACTTAATTTGATAATAAACAATATTGTCAAGTACAACTTAATTTGATAATAAACAATATTGTCAAGTACAACTTAATTTGATAATAAACAATATTGTCAAGTACAACTTTAACTGGAACGATGAGTACTACTATAAATTAATGCTGATTTAATAGGATTCAATGTTAGCAGATTTCTTGTATACATTCTGGACTCTTGTAGACAGCGAGACAACATTGACAAGATGGAGAGTGGAAAACCATATGTTGATTTAGAGTTTCTGGAGTACAAGAATTTGCCTCTGTGTGTCGAGTATCGAGATTGTCAGGTTTTCCTACGGGGAAAAGAAATAGAGAACAAATCCAAGGTCTGCAAGAACTTTGCTGTATGTATCATTTTTTGTATAAGTTGTGTAGAGCTATCAAAGTTACTAATATTTAAAACATTTGTGGCTGTAATATTTTTCTCTAATTAATTGCTTTATGCTGAAAGTTTCACTTCTTATTGGCTGATTATAAAATACTTCATTCTGCAAGTTTCACACTGTTGATTCATTATTAAGTGTTTTATGCTGAGATTTTCACACCTTATTGGTTCATTATAAAATACTTTATTGTATTTTTGTTGTAACAGATTTTGATATGTTTTTTGTAACAGTCTATGTGCTTTTTTATCTGTGAATTGTCCAAACTAATTTATAAAAATAGCCATTTCTTCTGGTACATTTTATCCATGTATTTCATCTAAAAATAAGGTACTTATAGCTATAAATTATGATGTGTTGTATTTGTATGTTCATCTAAAATAAGGTACTTATAGCTATAAATTATGTGTTGTATTTGTATGTTCATCTAAAATAAGGTACTTATAGCTATAAATTACGATGTATTGTATTTGTATGTTCATCTTAAATAAGGTACTTATAGCTATAAATTATGATGTGTTGTATTTGTATGTTCATCTAAAATAAGGTACTTATAGCTATAAATTATGATGTGTTGTATTTGTATGTTCGTCTTAAATAAGGTACTTATAGCTATAAATTATGATGTGTTGTATTTTTATGTTCATCTAAAATAAGGTACTTATAGCTATAAATTACGATATATTGTATTTGTATATTCAGGTAAAATAAGGCAGTAATGATAAATTATTCTGCTGGAATGCTATTACATAATTTATACAACTATTTATACATATTAATTGAAAGTTAAAAGCATCTGAATGAGCTAGTACTCTTTTTTTTCTAGTTAGTTTAACAGTTTGTCTACTAACAGATGGTTATTATTATACAAAAGATATAACAACATTAAAGTACTGTAGTACTTGCTTCAAAACTTTTTGTCATATTTTGTTTTATTCAGAGCCATGGTTGGTGTAGCCAGGGCCAAAACTGCCCTGATTCGCATAACATTGATGATATTCTGGATGCCGAGGGTAAAAAATCTAAGAAAAACAAAAAGAGAAGAAGAAAACGCAACGGAGAGAACAAATCTCCATCTCTCAAAACAAGTACCAGCATTACAATGGATACAGACGTACATGAAGGTAATGATAAAGAAATGAAGGATACGATCAATACTCCCATATTAGACACAGAGTTGGAGAAACCATTACTCAAGACAACTGGCATCCACAGAGCTGGATTTGATTCTTTCATGACAGGATTTACTCTTGCTACGTACCTTCTGAGTTACATGTCAAAAATGTCTAGTGATAGTATTTTGTGTGCCACACGAGTCGGAGTGGAGGACTTGGTAAATAAGATCTACCTAACTGGAAAAGATATGCCACTAAATATTGTTCCAAGTAACTTTGCAAAAGTTAGCGTTTCACACAGAGAGAAGTTATCTTCTGTTATGGGAAAAGAATGAACACTGAAACACGCCCAGTGAAATAAATCATTTTATTCAAATGGGATTTTGCAGAATTTTACATTATATCTTCTTAAACGTTTGCAGTCTTGTGAAAAAAAAAAGAATAATATAGTAGAAAACTCTGAAAAACAGGAAAGAGGATACGAAGTCTTTCATGTTATGTATCATATGTATTTTAAATAAACATTATTTGTTTAAATAAGGTATTCTCTTTAGGAATTCTTAGAACTTTCTCCTTTTTCTTATCAAAAGAATATTTTCTCTTTGTTGTGTGACACAGTTATAATATTAGTTTAATGTTAGGTACAGAGACATCAAGTAAAACAAAGTTGCTGGTTGTTGCAGAATACATTTATTTTTTTCTTTCTCATTAATAATCTTCTGGTTTTTGTTTAAGGGGTGAACCCTTATTGCTCAGTGGTAGACTTGAAGGATTATAACCAGGGTAGCAGTAATAGGGGCTTGATGGGGCTCAAGCTATCCCCAAATGTGCATAAGCCTGCCCTGTAGCCCCTACACCCAATAATCATTGCTTACTGTTAACGCTGGTTCACTTCTTAAATACTATAATATCTGTGCCCATAAGATGTAGAGTGTAGTCCCTCAGTGTTTTGTCTAGCCCACCTCCCACCCCTCATTGAGAAGAGGCTGGTGTCACCCATATTTGTAACTTGAAAATACAGGGTTCTATACATGCAGTAAGTTTAGCATAAATAGCTCTTTGTGTGGCTTTCTGATAAAAGCATTTAAGTATTTAATTACGTATGCAATATTTATGTTTAATAATGATAATTAATAATTAAAATGAACATATTAGAGGCAACCAATACATCAAGTTTTATCTAACCCTGTAAATTAGCTGTACATTCAAAATAATGCTATTAAATAGTTAGTGTAACTGTATAAGACAAGATCAATTCAACTGTCTCAGTACACAGCATGGTCACAAGTAAATAGACACCACCTTTTCAGAAAAAATTAAATTTTCAGTCATATTCACATGAATTGATATATTTATAATTTAATTAATATCTAGTAGATCTTCCTTTTGCTTTGTGGAGTTCGTTGATCCTTTGGGGCATCGTGAGAATCATCTCGTCAATTTTAGACTGTGGGATTTTCGCCCACTCTTGCTTCAAAACTTGGAGTAGATCGCTTCTCGAAGTTGGTTTTTTCTTGTTGTTGTTGTTTCTTGACTTGCCGGTCGAGTATGGCCCAGAGGTTTTCGATGGGGTTCATGTCAGGAGATTGGCTCGGCCAGGGAAACTTCAGGATACTATTTTCTTCCTGCCACTTTTGGGTGTTTCTAGCAGTGTGACATGGTGCTCTATCTTCCTGGAACAACATTGTGTTCTT